ACCTGATTAGTTCTCTCCCAAAAGTCTACATTTGTGATTTTATCATACCATTTAATTCCCTCTATTCTGGCTTAGGCTTTGCGAGTCCGACTCGTAATTCCTAAGTACCGCGATCGAAACCCACTGCTGGCTGCGTGGATTTTAATCATGGCATGGGACGTCGCAGGTCGACTTAGCCGAAAATGGGTGCAAAATGTATGTCCTTGGGAAGTAAAGACGGCCGGCGTAATGGTGACCCCTTAAACCCACCTAGTGCCGATTGATCTATACAAATATGGGTGCACTTTCCCTATGCCCGATGCGCCCAAGGCGTATAAAAAGATCTTTACCTTTACTTTACTTATTCTGCGCAGACAGAGGCACGAATTTACTAATATTAAAAACCACCAATCACAAGCAGGGAGACAGTTTTCAGATCAATAAGCTTTTATTTGTATTCAACTATTACAAACGGTTGCTGGATTATTTTTAGAATTGTCTACTGCCTTTCCATAAAGAAAAGATAGGTTAGGTAATCAATCAGAACTCATTCTGGGATAACCTAATTACTGCGAATGCCTAACATTACACAGACAGGCTATACTGGTAACTGTCGCGAGATTATTTGATCTTACTCTCTATCAAGACAAGGCCAGTTAGAACTAATGAAAGCATATTTTTTGTGTGAGTACAATCCAAACCACTTCAAGTGTTCAAATATTTCAGTTATTTTTCTCCTGACATAATTATACAAAACACAAGCAGAATTGTTCTGAAAGCAATGATGCAACAACAAAATATTTGCAGACTTGTTTCAAACCTAATGCAAATATCAGTTCGATCCTGTTTAATTGTGGAATTCAATATTTACTTTCTATGCATGGGACTTTTTGCATGCACTTCCTGGTAATGTCAGCATACTGACGATCAATAAACAAATTAATTAATCACTAGAGTTTCATCTGCACTTTCATGAAGTTATCAAATTAGGGTAATTTGCCGCATGAAGAAGTGATTTATGGACAATGACAAATTTAATCTGCTGCTGTCTGTTCTAATAGAAATAAGAAAATTGTTTGTTATTGTGAGTCCGCAAGAATATTTCATGATACTGTGTTTATGATTGTGTTAAAGTTGAGTTAGTTGCGTATCATTTACAGGACGTTGCAGATCCAACCCCAGCATTTTATTGACTGTTGTGGTTTTTAAGGCAAATTTTACATTCACTGGTTTGACATTGCTTTCTGAATGATCAGCACTCAAAAGAAGACAAACAGTCCGCCGCTGGGATCAAACCCGTCACCCCGGCATTACGAAGCGCATTCGCAACGAGTAAGCCACAGGTAGAAATGAAAAATTACAATGTGTTCTTGTATCACTTCAATCTCATGCAATAGTTAACTTTGTATCAAGATTTGGTATTTAAAAATACTACTTTCAACACTCCTGGGTAATAAATATGTGGTTGCAATTTGCTTCGATTGTTAACATAAACAACCCGCGTTATGCTGATGACACCGTCTTGATTGCGATAAGTTAGAAAGAACTACATGAATTGATAGATACGGTGGTGGTAGAGAGTGATAAAATGGGCCTCAGTTTGAATAATAGAAAGACAAAAGTAATGGGGATTTCCAAGAAACAAAATAGCGCTTAAATGTATAACAAAGTCAAAGGTGTTTTTTTAAAAAGACAAGTACAGAAATTTAAGTATCTAGGCACATTGATAACGTCTAATGGAAGATGTGTCAGAGACAAACCAAAACTGAATTTTACAAAATGAAGAGCATTTTGTGTAATAAATGAATTAACTGGAATTACAGTGATGAACAATGTGGATTTGTAGAAGGAAAAGATACAAACAATGCCATATACACCCTAAGGACCTTTTCAGAAAGAGCTATAGAAGTAAAAACTGATTTGTATTATGCTTCATAGACTATACAAAAGCATTTGACTGTGTGAAGCATGAAGAAGTTATCAAACTGTTAGAAAAATTAAACATTGATGGAAAAGATCTACGAATAATATAGAATATGTATTGGCAGCAAACAACAGCTTTAAGAATTAACAACTGTTTAGGTACATTTGAAAGCATAAAGAGGGGCGTACGACAAGGATGTGTACTATCACCTGATTTGTTTTCAATATACAGTGAATATATAATGAGATATTTAACTGAAATGCCCGGAATTGTGGTTGGTGGGCACAATATAAACAATTTACTGATACATGCTGCAGGAGATCGTGGATTATGGAGAGGCATGATCGCCCACGCCAATCGACAATGCACCTGATGATGATGATGAATTGGAATTTAGGAAAAGAATTCTCGCATGCTATATAGAGCCAGTTTTAATATAAGGCCGTTAAGCCTGAACATTTAATAAACAAGCCAAACATTTTTTCGAGCCCTCTTAGATGTTGTTTTGCTGAAGAATGGTTACAATTCCTTGGACAGCTAAGAAGAGAAACCCAGATGTATTGAAAGTGGCGATCGAAGACAGCTTATCACAAACATCAGAAAGAGACAGCCATCATTTTTTAGATCATATTACGAGAAGAGGGAAAATGGAACATTTTGTAACCACTGGAAAAATCTATGGAAGGAGAGACAGAGGAAGACAGCGTGACCAGATTCTTGACAGTCTTTTGTCATGGCATGGAGGGGTACCAGCACGCGAAATGATACACGTATCTGTGGATTGCAGATTGTGGAGAGGCATGATCGCCCACGCTAGTCGGCAAGGCGCTTGATGCCGATGATTGTTAACAACATTTCCTCTTTGTCATTTCTGCAAGGTACACTCTTATCAATGTTCCTAAAGTTTTATTCACTAGCTTTAAGAAAAGAATGGCCCTCTTCTTCTTTCCAATTGCCTCCTTCTGGGTGGCTACCTAAACGGTTTAGCAACCTGATTGAACAAACTTCTCATTCTAGAGGGTAAGCCTACATGGCAAATCCCAGCTACCCCGTTTGGCCTCAGAAGAAAGTCACAATTAAAGCTGCGGTGATGTAAACACCACACAGGTGTAAACTACAGTCCTGCAACAGTAGGTTATTGAAAAGTAAAGTAGAGGCCATTTTCCGTGTCTTCATGCGGATTAGGCATATAGGGTTAGACCTATATTTTATAGAACAGTCGGTGCTCGGTGGGTAATGTTGTCAACATCACGCCGGCTGCCTTTACTTCACTGGACTGCATCTAAGACCTATTTAAGACTGGGTAACTTGGAAGTAAAGGTCATTATTGAAAAAAAAAAAGTTGTGCTGGATCAGGACCTAATTCACACCCTTCAGATCCGCAGGCAAGCATTTAGATACTACACCACAGCGGCTCCCCGGTAACGAACTGATAGCAATTATAATGATGGCCATCTTTACTCTCATGCCCCTTAAAACTTCCTGTGTGGGTTCCGGGGCCCCATTGTGTGGAAAACAAGAATAGACCCACTGCCCCCCCCTACCAACAAGCATGTTGTAGTAGACTAACTGGGAACTTCCTTCAAATTCAAAGTGCATCTGCCTGAGTGGCAAGGAAGAACCAACTGCAAGCAAATAGACCAGTAAAACGGATGTACATGCAGAAAGGTCCTGGCACAAAGTCAAAGTCCAGCTGGACGAACAACCAGGACTTTCCACTAGAGCCTACAGCCAGTGAGCAAAGAAGAAGCTTCCCCCTCAAATCCATGCATTCAAAAACCATAATCATGAAAGACAAAGGGCACAGATTTTCAATAAAAGTGCGAATCAACAGATTCTGTTTGTGAAAGAAGTAACAGATCAATGAAAGCTGAGGAGCTCAGTCTGTTCTCCAAGCTCACAAACAATGGGATGTGCATGACAGGTACTGGAACTTTACATCTATGCACAAGCTTAACAGGATATTAACGAGATCATGAATGAGCACAGGACGTGGTCAATTTTCTGAGTAGCACTGGACTGCAGGTAACAGCAGTCTAGTGTAGCCGTGGTAGATACCTCACTGAAATCTTTTTTATAGGTTGAACAGGGTATCTATAATTTGCCTGATGGCTTGCTATCAAAATGTGGTAATTTCAAGGTGCGTAAACTATAATATAGCAGCTGGAAGGGATACAAATGGAAGAAAGGAAGGAAGCACAACACATACAGACTGGATAAGATTAGGATTAGATTTGTAGTGTTTTCTTGACATATGTTGCATAATTTTACTGTTAAGGACTCTGACAGAAAACGTGTATATCTATTTTAAAAAGTTGTTGCTTTTCTTTAAAGGCCACTGAAAAACCAACCCCCAACATTCCCCAGTTTTTGTGTGATTTTACTAAGCAATTTTATGTTTATTAGTTTGTCATTGCTATCTCAATAGTTGGCGCTAGACAACATTGTATATCTGTTACACAGTGTACAAACAATAATGTAAACATCTATTACATTAAACATTGTCAGAATTTCCTGATTTGCTAGCAACCAAGTTAGTTTACATTATGAAAAGATATAGGTAGAGGCGTATTTAGGATGTGTGATGTATATGTTATGTCCCCATTTCCTGAGCTAGACGTCTGCATGGTTGTCACCATTTTTTTTAAACACCAGAACACTGATCTAATATGAGTGTTACAATGATAAAAATATACATTAAAAATACTTCATTACTTAAAAAAAAAAGTTAGTTGCATGTCCTTTACAGGACGGTGCGGAACCAACCCCAGCATTTTTTTAGCTGTTGTGGTTTTTCTAGGCAAATTTACGTTCAGTAGTTTACCATTGCTTACTGTCAAAGCCAAGGCAATGCAGTCTGTTGCCAAATCGCCTGCCGCTGGTATTGAACCTGGCACCTGCGCACTACGAAGCGCATTTACAACGCCTAAGCCACAAATGACA